GGTAGTCCTACAAACAGTGTTAACACTAATTTTAAGCATTTAGCCATGAAATGTAAGAAAAAAAAAGAATCTAGGCTCAGCCCTGGGTGATTAACAGTCAGAAAACCTCTGCAGGTTCCTGTTCTGCGCAGGGTGGACCGTCCCGCGCGCCCTCGGTTTTTTTTGGGTTGTTATTTTCCCCCCTTTTGTATTTTCTGTGTTTTTACCTAACCCTTCCCCGCCCCTATCTTGTTGTGACATTTTTTCATAACCGAATTTGCCAGTTGTGTTTTTTTTTTTTTTTTTTTTTTTTTTTAAAACTTCCCGCCATCTTTTTTTCCCCAGATGATCTATCAGGCACTCACACAGACAAAGTAACACACATCTTCAGAATGACACACTTGTTCTGCCTCTTTCTCAAACACACACACACACACACACACACACACACACACACACACACACACACACACACACACACACCCCCGGCTGTAGTGTGGCAGTTGCTGGGTCAGAATTACACACAGTAAAGTTTTACAGGTGCAGCGAGGCGGGTAATTGGTGTGTTAATTCGGCCGCGAGCGCTCGGCACACTCTAATGAAATTTCCACTGGTGTTCCCTTACGTCCTGCAGGTCAGCAGGCAACTTCCTGTTTGGATAAGGAGCACTTTAAAGAGAGAGAGAGAAAGGAGCAGAGAAAGAAAACAGGAGGAAGAGAACGAGAGAAGGAGACTGAGAGAGAGAGACTGAGAAAGAGAGAGAGAGACTCAGAGAGAGAGAGAGAGAGACTGAGAGAAAGAGACTGAGAGAGAGAGATAGACTGAGAGAGAGAGAGAGAGAGACTGAGAGAGAGAGAGAGACTGAGAGAGAGAAATAGAGAGAGAGAGAGAGAGAGTGTGAGCGGGGCACTCTTTGACTTTCAGCTGTGCAGGTCCGGACTGGGGCGGAGGGGGGTAAAGGGGACGGATGGAATTTCAATTTGCTGCTAACCACCCGCATAACCACCTACACACACTCTCTCACTCGCACAGTAACACTCACACACACACACACACACACACACGCATGATGTTCTGAGGACGAGGAGAGCAGATGGACAGTTAGAGAATGTGTGTAGAAATGATTGTTGAACCTGAATTCATGACTTTCCAGATATGAGACGTGACTGAGATGATTTTGTCTCAGAATCACTGGACCTGAGTATTCACATACTGAGGGTAAAATGAGTGAGTATGAGGACTATGACAAAAATAAATGCCATGTGTAGAAGGAATGTGCCTCTGGGATGTGTATGTGTGTGTGTGTATTCTCGGGGTGGTAATGGACACATGCCATTCAACCAAAGATGCCTGAGGCAACCCTCAATGACAAACTAATAAAGGAAGTATAGGGAGATGCACAACATATGTCTTTTTTTGCCAAACAATTCCACAGACATGAATTATTGGTATTCGGGTTGATATTGGAATGTATTGTTGGCTGGATCAGTATTGGACCGGATTTGATAGTTCTGATCCACTTCATTGATATGTATTATTCTGTGAATGAATGAATGAGGATGCATTATGAGGTCAATATCAAGTAGACATCCACTTATCCTACAGGGGATGCAAGGAACCTATCCCACAGAACTCGGGGCACAAGGCGGGGGACACTCTGGACATGATGCCAACCCATCACAGCTTACACATTCACACACTATGGACAATACAGACTATATGGAAATGCCAATCAGACTACAAGACATGTCTTTGGACTGGAGGATAAAACTGAAGTACCTGGAGGAACACCCCAAAGCACAGAGAGAACATGCAAGCAGGGTGGAGATGGGGTTTGAACCCAACTCTGGAAGTGCGTGCCAACAGTATTAACCACTAAGCCACCGTATCCCCAGAATTCTAATATCAGTATTAAACCAAAAAGTATTAAAATGTTTATTTATTAGTTATCTGTTCTCTTGTAACTTTGTTATATTAATATATTAAGAGAGAAATTAGTTCTAATATATAGAATAAGTTGTCATATAAAGTGATGTTAAACTGTAGAAATGACTTTCTGTGGTACATTATGAAGAATTGAGCTGGACTGGTATTCCTGCCACATGACCCATATTTCTGTCTCCAGATCCAACACCACCATGGCCAGGATAAAATGCCTACTGAACATTATATACGTACACACAGGTGACACTTTAATGATAAGGAGTCTTTATTGGTCACATATACAGTAGAGCACAGTGAAATTGTTTTCTTCGCATACCCCAGCCTGGGGTCAGAGCACAGGATCAGCCATGATACAGTGCCCCCGGAGCAGAGAGGTTTAAGGGCCTTGCTCAAGGGCCCAACAGTGGCAGATTGGTAGTGCTGGGGCTTGAACCTCCAACCTTCAGATCAGTAACCCAGAGCCTTAACCGCTAAACCACCACTGCCCCGTGTTTAGTGATTTAGTAAGGTGTTGGCCCGTCATGAGCCGTCAGAACAGCTTCAGTGCTCCTTGGCAATGATTCTCTTGGGAAGTCTCTGGAAGTGTGCTGAAGCAATGAACACCGTTCTCCCAAAAGATATTCCGTTTTCACTCAGTGTTTGGATGATGGTGGTGGAGCGCACTTTCTGACTCCCTTTTCTAATCTCCCACAGGAGTTCCACGTGGTTCAGATCTGGTGACTGTGAAGACCATAATAGGTGATTGACCTGATCTTCATCTAACCCTTCAGTGAGCCCTCGTGCACTGTGGATGGGGGTGGAGTCATCCTGGAAGAGACCATGCCTATCGAGATAGAAATGTTTCATTAAAGAAAGGATAACGGTGATCTGGAAGAAGAACTTTGTGTTGATGTGCAATAAATCTTTTATCTGGAAGGAAAAGTGGAATTAAACCATGCAACCATAAAATAAAGAAATAATCCCTCCCTTACCCGCCCCCTTCCACACAGAATAACAGAGCCACCATTTTTTCCATAGATCACTCTTTTTCAAAAAACGTTCAATCTACAGGGTGTCCAAAAAGTCTCTATACATGGGGGAATTTAACATTTTTTAGCAAAATGTCTCTCAAAACCATTCATACTCAGTATATATATATTTATATCTCAGACTTTGACAAAAGACAAAAGAATAAAGTAATAAAGTATTGAAATCATTCTCATGGATGGATCAGGAAGCTGTTGCAAGGTTGTGATGGACTTTAAGAAAGAACATGGCGAGCACATCACACATGACACTGTTGCCAAACTCATCCACCGACAAAGACACGACCAAACATAGTCCCTTACTGTATGGAGACTTTTGGGACACCCTGTAGAATCCTTAAGGAATCTTTAATATACCATACCAACTGTGATTCTTTAGAGGTTTCCAAGTACAACCTTAACCATCCAAAGAAAATTTGGAGGAGCACATTTTTTTTAGGGAAGGGAGTGTATGTATCTTTTCTAAGAATGTATTTATGTGTGTTAGTGGTGTGTTGTGATTTTCTCATCTGATCTGTGGCTCTGTCCAACCACATCCTTAGTTTATTTAGCCTTTTCTGAACTTCCTTCAAGAGGAAAGACTCAGGATCTGTCCTGAACTAAAGACTAGCGCACTGAACAGTGTACCAAAACAATACCACCACCTAAGGTAAGCTATGAAGGCATAACAGCATGACACCTACTACACCTACCATTTCAGGGAAGATCACTGGGCACACGGGGGTACATCCTGGATAATATCATGTTTGTTAATCGTCTGCCAATAACGACACATCCTTAAGTATTCTATACTACAACAATTTGAAAAATTATTATAGTTTATACATTTTTTTAAAGAGTTGCACATACTGATGGGGCGGCTGTGTCTCAGGTGGTAGAGCGGGTTGTCCACTAATCGTAGGGTCGGCGGTTCGATTCTCGGCCCACGTGTCTCCACATGCCGAAGCAGGCAGTGGGTCCTTGGGCAAGACACTGAACCCCAAGTTGCCCCCAATGGCAAGTTAGTGCCTTGCATGGCAGCTCTGCTATCATTGGTGTGTGAGTGTGTGTGTGAATGGGTGAATGAGACACGGTGTAAAGCGCTTTGGATAAAAGTGCGCCATTTACCATTTACATACCTTTTATCTAATTACAGTTACAATGAATGTAGTGTAACTTTTCCGAAACAAATTTTTTCCTGTTATCACTTCCACTATAGAAGCTATAAACAGTCGATCAGTCGTAATACAATGACAAAGCAGTGACACTGGAGACTCCTTCCGTAAATGTTAAATAAAGGTCTCCTCACCGAAAACATGTCTATGATTACACACATTTTGAATATGGAGCATTTACTTTACATGTCCCCGTGTGTGTTGTTACTATAGACATTAAAACATAGAATGTGTAATTAGTACATTTCAGTTACGTTGATAAAAATGACATAACGGTTAGCTGTGCCTGACAGGCTCCTGTTGAGAAGACGTATGTATAAGAACTTGACATGTGCCCTATGATCCTGACATTGGATCCTTGGGATGGAATTTACGCGCACACACACACACACACTCTGACCAGCTGTTGACAGAGCTCATCACACTTGCACAGCCTGTCCATTCACTCTGACTGATGATCCTAGCACCCACCCACCCACACACACACACACACCTGCTGAGAGGACACAAACAGTCCCACAGGGACAGAGCCGGGATAGACACGGGCTAGTGCGCTCAGTGAAGGTGATAACAGAGTGCTGATGGTTTTTCATTTGTCTTGACCGTTGGTGGCCTCAGTGATTCTGTCACGGCTAGTTAAGGGTCCTGCATGAGGAGTGTGCATGCTTGCAACTCACACACCAAGTGTTTAACTCTATTTGTATACTCCTATGACCTGGTATAGTGTCCACCACTCACACTCTCTATTTGTCCCAAAACCGCCTCTACCCTGTGATCTCCCCATGCACTGTGACTTTGTTTTTCTCCTCATTCGTTGCAGGCCATTCATGGCATTTCTCCCATATCCAGACTGACTTAAATTTATCTAATTTTATACACAGGGTTAAGCAGTGGCATCTTGGCAGTGCTGGGATTTGAACTCACGACCTTCTGAGCGGTAGTCCAACATTTTAACCAATGAACTACCATTTGTGCACTAAGTTCCCATATGTTTCTGGCTTCGCCCGTGACCCTGTGAAGGATAACCGATATGAAAAATAGATGGCTGGATGGATTACTTAATCAAAATAATTATTGGTGCTACAAGTAGTAAGGAGACATTGCATGAAAGCGACATGATTGTTTGAGTTCCACTCCAATATACTGTACAAATAGTATTTAATATTGCGATTTTGGTTACTATTTTGGTTGCAGCTGTTATTGGCCCTATGAATTCATATGAGAAAATATATATTTGAAGTATATTCTCGCTGATATTTTACATTTATTTTAGTACATCTGGGTGATCAGGAACAGGAAATTGTTCATCCATGACTTCCTGTATCACAGGGGTATAAATTTGATGTAACACATAGGCCAAATTCCCTTATTCATTCGTAACAATGGATAAGAGCAAGGAATATGGCTGTGATGTGCGGCAAAAGGTTGTTGAGCTTCACAAAATGGGAAGTGGCTATAAGAAAATAGCACAAGCATTGAACATGCCCATTTCTACCATCAGGGCAACCATTAAAAAGTTCCAGTCAACGGGAAATGTTATGAATCAACTTGGAATTGGACGTGTGTCTATATCGTCTCAACGAAGTGTGAAGAGGATGGTTCGAGTGGCCAAAAAATCACAGCTGAGGTTCAGAGCTGGAGAATTACAGAAGTTAGCTGCGTCTTGGGGTCTCTAAAACTACAATCCCTACAATCACCACAAGTTGTTTGGAAGGGTTTCAAGAAAAAAAAGCGTCTACTTTCATCCAAAAACAAACTCAAGTGTCTTCAGTTTGCCAGACACTACTGGAACTTCAAATGGGATCGGGTTCTATGGTCAGATGAAACCAAAATAGAGATTTTGGTAATAAACACCAGAGGTGGGTTTGGTGCCCACAGAGAGGTAGCCATATGGAAAAGTACCTCATGCCCACAGTTAAACATGGAGGTGGATCTTTAATTTTTTGGGGATGTTTTTCTGCCCGAGGACCTCAACATTTTGTTAGGATACATGGCATCATGGACTTTATCAAATATCAACAGATATTAAATGAAGACCTGACTGCCTCTGCCAGAAAGATTTAAATGGGCCATGGATGAATCTTCCAGCAGGACAATGATCCAAAACATCAAAATCATCACAAAAATGGTTTACTGAACCCTAAAATCAAGGTCCTGCCATGACCGTCCCAGTCCCCTGACCTGAAACCAATAGAAAACCTGTGGGGTGAACTGAAGAGGAGAGTCCACCAGCGTGGACCTCGAAATTTGTAGGATCCGTATGGAGGAATGGTCTCAGATCCCTTACCATGTATTCTCAGACATTATAGGAGAAGACTCAGAGCTGTTATCTTGGCAAATTGAGGTAGCACAGACTATTGACTAAACGGGTGCCAATAATTGTTGCACACCTATATTCAACAAAGTTTTTTGTTGTTGATAAACCTGTGTTGTGTTTGCAATTGTTTGATATCCACGAGAGAAGAGTATTTTTGTGATTTTTTTAAACAAAAGACCAAAAGGTTAAACAATAAAGACAATTTTCCACAACATGCAACTTTTTTTTTTGCTCATATTTACCAAGGGTGCCAATATTAGTGGAGGGCACTAAAATTTGACATGAAGTACAACCCACAACCACAGGAGGGCACCAAGTACCGAACTATACATGCCATTGCACACACAGACACACACACACAGTAGTGTGTTAGACTTTGCCTTGAACCCTGGTTTAATCACATAAAATTATGCTATAATAAAAAAAATAAAGATTATATATATATATATATATATATATATATATATATATATATATATATATATATTTATATATTATATATATATATATATATATATATATATATAAAAAAATAATAAATATATATATATATATATATATATATATATATATATATACACACACACACTAGTATAGGCTACAAGATATATTCTCTAAAATTATATATTTGTTACATAAACCATGACTGACAGAACTGGATCCAATTCATGGACTCATACAATATTTCTGCTGTTTGTCAGCGGTTCCTGATTTTCTTGGTGATTAAATCAATACAAACCATTTCCTGGTCTTACAGTCTAATAATAACTTTTAAAGGGAAATCTCAGCCTTTACTTGAATTAAATGAGAAAAAAAGAGGTTTGGGCTTGTGTTTGAAGGGCAGCCTGTTAAAATGTCTGGGATATTTTTCACTGAGGCGACTTAAAAATAGCCCGAAACCAAAAAAGCCACATGCTATAAAAAAAAATAGAAGAACTTTGCTTCGAAATGCTGCTTCATCAAAGTAACACGGTTCAAAAAGGATCAGGATAAAATTGGACACAAAGTGTTTGAGGTTGTTGTTTCTTTTTTTTTCTTCCCTCCCTCGGTCGGTCTAAAACATTTTTTTTTTACGTCTCACCATTGAAATTGTGTTTATTTTTGCATTTTCCGCATCATAAGCTTTAGCAATTAGCTCGTCGCTGACAGAGATGTGCGATGCCGATCCGTTCCTGATAAAAGCGGTTGTGATCTGATCTGAACTCGGGCTCTGTGTGACCACATCCTCCGTTTATTTTCACTTTTCTTCCCTTCCTTTAAGAGGAAAGACTCGGGCTCTGTCTCAAACCGCAGACTACCGCACTGAATAACGTGTCAAAATACTAGACTTCTGTAGTAGCCTACAGTACTCATCATACTGTTTGACAGGAGAGCATTAGCAAACATTATAAATCAACAGTCAGATGCTGAACAATGAGAGATAATGAACGGTAGCCTAAATGTTGCATGTGTTGATACTAGCGTAGTTTCAAACATACGCATTGCTTATTTAAATAACCAGATTATTATCTGTGTGTGTGTGTGTGTGTGTATGTGTGTGTGTGATTTGACCAACTTTATTAAAATGGTAATTTCCCCTCATCTCTCTCTATCTACATCCACGATTCCACAAAATGGTGTCTCTTTTACTTTCTTTGGATCAACATGGCTTTATTTTCTGGCTTCCTCATCCCAAGCGAAGGGTTCCATAAATCAGTTCATACCACAGCACTGTTAATTCTTGATTCTGATTCGTCGAAAATGTTTCTTTCTGACTAATCCGATTTTAAAATGGTCTATAACCTATAGCAGTAAGATGAGAGTAATTCGAGACAGGTCTTCTAGTACCTTGTTGTTTTTATAGTAACCGCTATAATCATTTATTATGAATTATAAACAGATTAAAAACTCTTAATGAGCAAACAGAAGCATGTAAGTGTTGTTGATATGCTGATGTTTTCTTTAAGGATGTTTATTGAACATTTATGGAAGGAGTCTCCAGTGTCAGTGCTTTGTCTTTAATTTATTTATTAATTTTCATATGATTCATTTACATGCGATTCATTTCCATGTGATTCATATTAATGTGATTCATAATCAAGCGATTCATTTCCATGTGATTCATTTACTGATTTGCTTCTCTTTATATCCAGTTTTAGACTGTGATATTACAAAGGTCTTCCAGATTATTACTCACCACACTGTATGAGATAACCACAGTAAAACTGCCTAAATTTTATAATATAATTTGTTCAATTATTTATTATAATTTAGGTCAGTGCTTTGTAACAGTCAGTGGCTTTTCCACCATAGGAACATCTTCAGGACAGAAGACTTTCTATACATATTTAAATAATGTGGCAGTTTAAAAAAAAAAAAAAGAAGAGTTTGCCTTTAAAATAAATCTCTCCTGTGGTGGTCCAATCAAAGGAAGAGAGAGAGAGAGAGAGAGAGAGAGAGAGTGAGAGAGAGAGAGTTTCATGAATGTTCTAGAAAAGTAAATAATTAAGTAAAAGATAAAACAAACAGATCCTATATACCTTTTACTTGCTTCCTATGGTATCAAGGAATGAATCAGTGTTCTAAAAGTTATTATACCCTTTTATACACATTGATTTAAATCTTAACCACACAGCTTATTACAATGGATATAAAAAGTTTATACACCCCTGTAAAAATGACAGGTTTTTGTGAAAAAAAAAAAAAAAAAAATATATATATATATATATATATATATATATATATATATATATATATATATATATATATATATATATATATATATATATATATATATATATATATATAAACCAAAGTCAGAATTTTTTCCACCCTCAATGTGATATTACAACATATAAAAATTAAAAACATTAAATATATTTTTTTAAATGAATCAGAAACATTTTAGGGACAAATAGGGAAAAAAAAGTCACAATAACCTGATTGCATAAGTGTGCACACCCTTTTATAATTAGGGATGTGGGTGTGTTCAGAAAGAACCAATCAAATTCAGTCTCTTGTTCAAAGGTAATTATCATTCAGCTGTAGTCAATGAAATTATTCTGATTAACCCCAAATAAAGACCAGCTGTTTTTGTAGGATTTTCTTCACATCTTTTCTTCTGATTTCTGAAGCCATGATCCACAACGAACTTACAATGCATGTTCGGTATCAGATGAGGGTTATAAACGAACGCCCAAAACATTAGATGTATAGTGCTGTGAAAAAGTACTTGGGTTTGATTTCTTCTGATTTTGTGTATATCTCATAGTAAGTAGTGTAAGTGAAAACTACTTCAAACTTCAAACAAAAAACAACATAAAACAGGCAATCTGAGAAAACTTCTTAAACATAAAATCTGGTTTTGCCACCTTTAGCATCAACCAAACACTTCCTATAACTTCCTATAACTTTGCTTTGGATCATAGTCTTGCTGAATAATCTAGTTGTGCTTGAGTTGAACTTACAGACTGAAGGCCAGACATTCTCCTTTAGGATTTTCTGGAATTCATGCCCAGAATTCATGCCCAGGCCCTGAAGTAGGAAAGCATCCCCACACCATCACACTTCCTCCACCATGCTTGACCGTAGGTATGATGATCTTTTTGTGGAATTCTGTGTTTGAATTACGCCAGATATAACGGGACCCCTGTCTTCCAAACAGCTCTGCTT